TCTTGTTTGCCATTCCAATCTTGCTTTTCCAACTGGTGAGACGACTACCATGCAATTCCTAATCAATAGTTGTCCAACATGTCACATAATACCAATATTTTCCCATAGCGTTTTCGTCAAAATAAACCTTAGAATTAATCAACCAATCAGGGCCTGGCTTATTACAGAAGCTTTGTTCATTCACTTTCTCGCTCTTCAGTCTCTCACTAAAACCTAATTTCCCTGTATGTGAATCCCTCGCACCTCACCATTCCATTACCCCTTGCGCTTTGCTTAAATTTTCTTCTACGCGTTCTCTCTCTCTCTCGTTGCGCTTTATCTCTCTAGTCGTCGATTCTTATCCTTTAAGGTGTGTGTTTCTGATTCTTGATAGAAGTCTTCTTTTGTTATTGTACATTTATTTGCTTGATTGGAACTATTTTTTGGTTTCTAGGGTTTCTTGAATCTTGTATTTGTTTCGACTTTTTGGGGCCGTTCTTTGTTTTTTGGTCATATTTTTCTGTATTTTGTGGTTTTAGTACTGAACAGAAGTTGAAACTTTTTGGGTTGTGTATTGATGCGGTTTTCATTTATTCTAATCCGTATATTTGATATGGATTATTATAATGGAATATGGGTCATTCTTAAAAACTTTCCCTTTGTATTCTTTTAGCAGTAATTGCTTTTATTTAGCTGTGTTCATAGTGGCGTCTTTATGGATGTTATGTGTATGAGGCTTACGGTGTAGTGAATATGCCAGGACTCGTCAACAGATGTCTTTTGATTCTGGCAAGAAGCATCGGTGGTTTCTTTGGATTGCTTTCTGTTTCATGAACCGGGGGAGGCTTTGGTGCTCTCGGAAAGTCTTGTTTAGGCATTGGACTTGACATTAGTTAAAAATAGTTTTGGGGGAGGAGGGGTGATTGTTGTGGGGTTGTGGTGTATATTATTGTTTCTAGGTGTTACTTATTTTGGTGCAATCTGCTTTGATTTCTTCTGGAGAAGGGTTTATTCTAGGTTGAGTGAGGTGTATTGGAATACTGTTGGTGGAACTGTTATTTGGTTGGCATACTGTGGGGCGTTCTGTTGCCATTCTTTGATGGCGAGGACGTCCCTTCCTCCAGGCTTTCGGTTTCATCCGACCGATGTTGAGCTGGTTATGTATTATCTCAAGAGGAAGATTATGGGAAAGAGGCTTCACTTCGAAGCTATTGCAGAGGTCAACATTTATAAATTCTCTCCATGGGATCTAAAAGGTACTTTTTCTCTTCACTGCAGTTATTGGCTCTATAACTTACCTGTTCTTTCACTCCAAATTTGATGATCTTCACTAGTCCATTTCAAGATTTATTCTTTTATTAACAATCTGAAACCGGTAAAATATTGCAAAATTTGTCGCCGTTTATAAAACAACTTACATGTATTTTTATTTGAATACTTTCTTTTTGGTAGGATTCCATGGTTTGTTTATGTCTTTATAGAGTATTGCTATTCATAAGCAGTGCTTAGCAATCATGATGTGGCTTTAATTGATTTGCCATCTTAAATCCAACATTAAGATGGCAATTGAGCGGTGATGATGAATAATATTATTTTTCTTTGTTTGTTTTTATTCTTTTATTAATGCAACAATTCAAAAGTTTATTTATTTCTCTTTCTTGCTGCAGATAAATCAATCTTGAAAAGTAGGGATCTAGAGTGGTTCTTCTTCTGCCCCAGAGAGAAGAAATATGCTTGTGGGGTTCGAATGAAGCGCGCTACTGAGAATGGATACTGGAAAACGACTGGAAAGGATAGACCTGTCCGTTATAATGAAAATGTTGTGGGAATGGTGAGAACCTTGGTTTTTCACCTAGGTCATGCACCACAAGGAAGAAGAACCAATTGGGTTATTCACGAGTATAGGATCCTAGATGAGCAGTTGTCTGCAGCTGGACTTCAGGTTTGTTTTCATCTCAATTTTCAAAGTAATTGCACATCTAATAGTTGATTTGCGTGAATGAGTTACTGTTTTCGTTCAGACTATTTTATTTTCATGATCTTTTTATCTATGGTATGTAAATTTACGTGTAGGCTATTTGATTGACATTCAAGTAGAAATTTGAATTTACATCAATCTTTTATTTATATTTCATCTTATTCCTTGTGTATGTTCATGTTCAAAATTGACATACTGCAGTATGTCCTTCTGTTTATCTCTTCATTACTTTTTTTACTCTTATATATTTTTTTAATTATCTCAATTACACTCCATTTGGAGCTATGTTTTTTGTGAAATAATGAAATGTGGCATCATTTTAAGTCAAGGAATTTAAAAAACAAAGATTGACTGTATTTGGCAGCTGAAATTTGAGTTTGGATGCAATAAAATGGTCTAAGTACCATTGCTCCAATGTCAAGGCTAAGCAACAATACCATTTATTCATTGGTCAATATGAATTGCATTAAATAACACCATTGGTTAATTACTGATAACACTGGTGATTCTGGTAACCGACTTAACTGTTTTCTTTCTAAAGTTACCACTTCTAGTTGATAGCTATATACCTCGTGATTGATTTGATAATAATATGTTTTCTTCATATCCAATTATGTAACATCAGTTTGGATGTTTCGGCTCACAGCATTTATCTAAAACGTCTGTAATGAGCTGCTTTCACAAGCCACAGTTTTCTTTGTCTGCATTGTTGTATTTGTGGAATATTACAAATTCTGACCAATCGTGATTGTATTCAAATTAAGACTATTTCCTGTCTGCTTATTATATTTATAACTTCTCACTTGACACTAATTAAATCGCACTTTGATATGAAATGTTGCAATGCCTCGTCTTACATATTTCTCATTTGTGGTGCATAACCTTTAATCATTTTAGATTGTTGCTGAATTTGTTTAATGGGTATTCTGATACGTACCAAGACAGATAAAAGTATAATTTGTTGAATTACTAAACGGAAATAGAATGAAGATACAGGTTTGGCAGGTTTTCCAGAGACGTGTCTCTCTCTCCCCACGCCACTCTCTCTCAATGTGAATATCTTGCAGACTAACCAATCCCCTCATTTATTCAATTAGTAATTCAGAGAATTCCTAATATACTCCCCCTTAACTAATTAACAAACTAATAAGCTATCACAATAAATGGTAAACTAGAGCCTATCAGTACACTTCCTTGAATATTTTCAATGTTGAAATGTCTTTATTGCCATTTGATATAGTGTCTAAACTTGAGTTCGAACTTTTTTCCTGCTGGAAAGAGCAGGGTAAGCAAGTGTAGGTTATCCATGCATTGAATTCCATTTGATTCTCATTGAGTAGAATATGTAGCTAATATAGGCTGAAGATTTTGTATTATTATGTGCTCTTTAGCAAGCCGCTCTACTTTTGCTTTAATGTCTAGTTTATTTTCGAAGAGTTCTGATGAATGTTCCAAGTATTTGGCTTGCACTTAAGCATCATTTGATTTTCAGTTTTGCTTTTATCTGTTATTTCCAATCACAAAGATGGGTCAAAAAATTTATCTTATTTCTCATTGAAGAGAAGTTTATATGACCATATTTTTCAGGACTTGTACGTGCTTTGTAAAGTCTTCGAGAAAAATGGTCCAGGCCCAAAAAATGGTGCACAGTATGGGGCTCCTTTTAATGAGGCAGATTGGGACGATGATGATGATGTACAAACCCATGTCGAATCTTCGCCATCTGGTGGTCCGTCATCCACAGCTTTGACATTGCCTGAAAATCAATGCTGCTCCGTTATAACAAGTATGGTCAATCCTGGAAATACACCTGGACCATCTCTGATTGAAGCTGGTCCATCTCATTTCTCTGGTCCAGCGGTTAGTGGGGTGCCTTTGGATTTGGATTTGGATGATGAAGTTCTTCGTTGGTTGGCCACATTCAGAGATGATAGTGTGTTGCTCGATGATAATGGAAATCATGAGGTACGTGTTCTTTTGAAGTTTGAGTAGTCACATTTCTTTTGCTAATTAAGTAAGATTTCATCGACCGACCTTATCTCTTGAAACTTCTTTTACCAAATCCATGCAAGTTTTTGACTAAAATCCTAAACTTGAAAGAAATCAGAAATATTATACGAGTGTCAGGTCTTTAGGGTCCTAGCCATTTGCACAAAATTAGAATTTACAATTATATAATACCACCTGTATAGGATGATGTCATTGTTCCCTCAAAGCAAGCTTCTTTTCTATCATACTGGCCCCATCTACCCTTCACAAATATACCTTGCATGTGCTCATTAGATTAAAAACTTACAATATTGGTGCTTTTATGGATCATATATTCATATATTAACCATGTCAACATGCTATGCATTCTTTCTTTCTATCAACTTACTTTATTTAATTCTTACTGATGTCCTTTTTAGGGTGGCTCCTTGTTTTCTAGAAAGTCCTCAAATTAGATTTTTTGATTTACATTTCTACATCGAATCTTTAAATGATATATTCCCACTCTTTTGTTTTTATTTTTGTTATTTGTTATCTCTTTTCAAATATATCCGGAGGTGTTCCTGAATTGTCCTTGAATCTGTTGTGATTGCATTTGCATTAAATGGTACCCGCATTTTCATGCAGTTTAAAAGATCTGGGTTGATTCTGAGATGAATGAAAAATCGTACACTGTCCATTTATCAATTGTTTATTTTCATATATTAAGCCCTTCGTTTGAAATTGATTATTCTTTTTCCTATATATAATCATTTTTTCCTATTTCCGGACAACTTTTCCTTTTAATAATCACTTCCACACAAGGGCTGATTTTAAAGTCAGTCTTGTCCTTGAGATTATGTTAAATGCTAATACTTCATTGGAATCTCAACATTTGCGAAGATTAACTGTAAAATCAGTCTTGTCATTGAGAATTTGTTGTGTGTTTATCTACTAACTTCTATGTATCAGACATGCTCTCTTTTCATTATTAAAACAAATGCTTATGTGATCCCAGCATGTTTTTTACCTTTATTCTGCTTCTTATAGGTTATTAATCAATGTCTAGAGTAGCAGCCTCTGATCAGGAAAATATTACTGATGTCTTTCAGTTTTTTCTCATAGAAATTGCACTTCATTTGAATCTTTTTAGTAATGCGTTAATTAAACCGTTTACTGAAATAAATCGGGATTTAACACAGAATCGAGATGATCATAATCAGAAGGGGAAGAATAAATGTTTACCTTGTCTGGATGGAAATGACATATACAATGGTCTATGTGACTTGGATTCTTGGGGCTCGATGAATGAAGGCGGACTTAATTTTGCTGGCATGCAGAAAGATGGCTATCTTCAGAACTACACGCTTCCACAAAATGACATAGCTTATTTGGAACTTAATGATCTTGAAGTTCCACTGAATCACCCTGCTGAAGTTAATGAAACGGAGCAGATGCAATTTGACAACTTTGGAGTATGTTCTAATTTTGCTGGCATGCAGAAAGATGGCTATCTTCAGAACTACACGCTTCCACAAAATGACACAGCTTATTTGGAACTTAATGATCTTGAAGTTCCACTGAATCACCCTGCTGAAGTTAATGAAACGGAACAGATGCAATTTGACAACTTTGGACCATGTTCCCAGGGTAACACAGAACAGCTCATTTTTGGAGGAAATTTTTCTGATATGGATCTATATGCTTCTTGCCAAGGCCATTTTCCTGTGCCACCTGAAGGATCCAAACAACCAGGGAGTTGTTCTGATGTGCTTCAGGCGGTGCGTCCTTAAGACTAATTTGATTTATTTACTTAAGAACGTGTTTGTTTTTGCTTTAAAAAATGTCAACTTTAAAGAAAATAAGTAGTTTTGAAATAAAATTGTTTTTGTGAAAGTTGAAATTAAACAAGTTGCTTATTTTGACACTAAGAATTAAAACTTTTTTACTTCATAATAAAAGAATAAAGTTATCCAAACGTTTGGAGCAAAAAGTTATTCGAAAGGAACTTCACATGTTTTAACCTCAGCATAACATGCTCTCAACAGCAAACTTTCGTTTTATTCACCTCTATATTTATCGGAGATGTTACATTGTTGTCTATTTGAACTTTTGCTCCTAGAAATTAAAATTTAACCATGAATATGCAGGAAAGCAGCAACCGTGAGGGGCGTAACAATGCTGCTGCGTATAGTTTGGATTTTACTGGCGGACACTCTGAGGATGGAGGCATATTCCACGTGAAACATGGGCAGAGTTAGTTTTGATGATGTCATCTGATACATTTAGAGTCAGTTGTTCTTTAATAATATCAATAGACGAACTTCTTTGGAAACTATGGTGGTCCAAAATGAATAAAATGTATTCTGCAAATACAGTTGATTCTCTGCGTTCTGGAGTCTGGTTTATTTCGTATTAGAGCTGCACAAATTTAAAAAGAAACTCTTGTTGATTCCAGCATTTCATGATCGACGCCTGCAGGTACTTGCAGCTGTATTGATGTTCTGTAATATGTTTTTCGAATCATTGATCTCATTTTCATTATTTTGTTTCGTTATGATCTTATCTCAGGAATCCAGAAAATAAATCATTCCTTCTTTCCCACCATGAATTGCTGCGCTGTTAGTTTCTTCTTATGATGGCTTCTCTGTAAATGTGAAGGCTGAGATGACTCGTGGCCTTCGTCTCGAGGTGTCGATGCTGATGTGTGTCAGCAGCCAATGGCAGATTGTCCGATTGCTGCTGTGACTTTTGATTTATCATATTTGTCTGATTTAGTTTCTTTGAATCATTCACGTTGCTATTCTTATGGATTCTTGTTTCTTTTGTGGAGTTATTTGTATTATTAATCGAACCATTTTAAGTAGGTACTTGTGTGTGCGCTTAATTTTTTTAGGGTAATTAGCCTTTCAGCATTATTGTGCCAAACGTTTTTATCTTTCATTTTTTGGCATTTTCATCTTTATTTTAACAATTCATTGTGAAAATCATTATTTTCATCAAAATTTTCAATTAAAAAAAAATTTATAATGGCAAATATATCCTCATTTTTAATAAAAAAAAAAAGAAAAGAAAAGAAATGAATAGATTAAATAATAAATTGTAATTATAATTTCAAGGTTTTTTTTGAAAAAAAAGTAAATGAATTCAAATAAGTTATTAAAAGGGTAATTAGTGTAAAGTATTCATACCTTTCGATACTATTATGCGAAACATTCTAACATTTTTTTTTTTTTCACATTTCATTGTAAAAATCATTATTTTCATCTATTTTTTCAATTAAAAATTGTAAAATGACAAATATAATATTATATTTAAATAAAACAAAAATAGGGAAGACAATTAAAAAACAAATTGTAACTAAACTTTTGAATTTTTAAAAAAAGTAAAAATAAATTTAAAATAAATAATTAAAAAATTTATTTATACCTTCTCGAAACAATTAGGAGTATACTTGTTTAAATAGGAGAGTATATTCGTTATTTAACAATTTTATGTATTTATCTAATGATAAACCATTAAGAGTGTTTGATTGACACGAAAAATATTACATAGAAAAGAAAATATTTTCCACTTTTTGTGAAAAAAAAAACCACCTCTATCCAAGGAAAATGTTTTTCATGGAAAAAAAAATAGCAATCAAATACTTCAAGTGGGAATTTGGGTGAAAATTGATATTTTTCATGAAAAATAAATGTAATCAAACACACCCTAATACTTCCTCGATGGGGGCTCTACGCATTGAGAAAAAAGTTTTACATAACAACATTGAAATGAATGGACGTTTTGTGCTAATTACATTTTTAATAATTTATTTAGATTCGCTTGCACTTTTTAAAAAAGTTTGGACTGTGATTGCAATTTGTTTTTAATTTTTCTTTTATTTTTTGTTTTATTTAAATGAGGGCATATTTGTCATTTTACATTTTTTTATTGAGAAATTAGATGAAAATGATGATTTTTGTAATGAAATGTGAAAATATAATATATATATATATATATAAAGTAAAAATATTTTGCACAATAATTTAAAAATGTGGTGACATTTTATGCTAATTACCCATTATTTAATAAATCCTCTGTCGTGTAAATTCTTGGAGAAAAGTTCTTTTGGAAATATTATGGCTGGGTTGGGGTTCCCAAACAACTGAAAATGTAGCTATTAGATCCTTCACCTATACCTTTGGGAGGTTACAATCTGTGTCTCACTTTTTTATTCGTAGCACTCGTCTTAAAGGGCAATTTTAACCATAGAATTCGTTTTACTTTTCACAATGGGCAAGATAAAAGTGTCCATTTGTTGGCAAGAAAACTTTAATTAAGGTTCCCTCGAAATGCGAGAACCTTAAGTAAAGTTCTTTTCAAAATGGACAAAATACGATTTTCTACTGTGTGCAAGAGAATGTTGTGTTTTAGTCTTATCTTGCTCAAATTATATTTAAAAGATTACTTAGTCCTTATATAATTGAACAAAAATAAATAAAAAAAAAATGAAGGAAAAAAAGTCAAAATTCAACATGCATACCTTTAGAAGTTGAACTTGAAGAGCAGTAATAAAAAAATAAGAGAAATTTGCACTTCATGTCAATTTTTGGCTTTACATTTTTGAAAATGTCACGTTTTCAAAATCTTTGCGAGATTGTCATTTTTGGGCATTTTTTCCTCTCCAGAGAAATTGAATACCCTACACATTTTTTAGTTGACAACATGAAAAAGTTGTACAAAAATTGAAAAAAATGTGACAACCAATCAACTCACAAGAGTACTTGGAAATATTGGAAAAATTTTGAAAAACCCAAAACCAAACTCGGTTTCTCTCTCTCATTCAACATCTCCCCTAAATTCTAAACTCACTCTTTTCTCTCTCATTGGTGTCATGGACGGATACATCCATTTTCGGCCATTTTAATATTTAAACGTAGGTCGAAAAGCTTGACAAATATTTCTTACGCAACCATGCTAAATTGAAATATTGTCACCGACGAATACCTCCATTTTCGGCCATTTTGAAGCTTAAACGTGGGTCGAAAAGCTTGACAAATATTTCTCATGCAATCACGCTGAACTCAAATATCCCATTCAATTCAGATAAAATGCTCGAGGTGTTGGATCGAATCTCCATTTTGGATTTTAACACTGAATAATTTTCAAGGTATGGGTTCATCTTCTCTTGATTCCTTTGTTTGTGTTTGAGTATTTCATTTGTTACGTTAAAAATTCTTGGACCACCCAGTAAAATATACTGGGTTAGAAGTTATAACTTTAGACAGGAAAAGAGAAAAGAGGAGCCCATTTGTTTAACCCAGTTTATTGTTATAGTAACTGATGAGATTGTGATGGTTTGCATTTTTTCTCTTATTATTATTATTATTTTTTTTTGTACTGTGGAGATGGCCGCATCAAAGGTGGAAGCAGCAACGACTGCTTCTGCTGACACAATGTCGAGTATATGGGGATTTCGTTTGACAATATAATAGGGTTGGTGCTATTTTTTCTTCCAGCTTCTTCATTGACGCCAATTTATAAAAAAAAAATAAAAATAAAAAAAAAATAAAAAAAAAATCTCAACTTGGAGGATCCCACCGCCTCGCCTCTAGAGATTTGTGAGGGAGGTAAATCGTGGGATGTGCTTCAGCAGGCCGGAAAATAAGAGCTGCATGTACACTGCGTCTACAAGAAGTCAAATTCCATGTCTCAAAAATCGAACCCCCACTTTACGGCTGTCAACAAGGTATGAGATAACCTTACTCCTGCTTGTACATTGACGCCAATTTTTGTTGGATATTGGTTAAATAAATCGAGAATTGAAAATCGATTAAAGTTCGTATCGACTTCGGCCAAATACTCAAAAGCTCGACTCAATCCGTTTAGGCAAAATGGTTTGCCACTTCGCCGCTTCGGGGCGCACAAACGGGGATCGACCTGCATGTATTGAACGGTATATTTGGCATTTCGAAAACCAATATCGGATGAATGAGAAATTATGAAAAAGGCCTCAACCATTAGTGAATAGACACCTTTTCATAAAGGTGCATTGTTTGGAAAGGGTGCATGGTTTGGCCTCAACCATTTCGTCCACACCCCTTCATAGTCTATAAATAGGACCCTTTGGGTGTCCTATTCCTCACAGTTTGATATGCAAAAACGTCTCTCGTCCTCTCTTCTATCCAAAATCAAAATCATTTCATTTATTTTGATTTTCTTTCATTTCATCTGTAGAGTACATAAGCCTACATTTGGTTCGTTGTACTTGTGTTTTGGAGTGCTACAAACACAAGTGTAGCCGTTGTATCTTGGGAGTCGATTGCCGAAATCCGTAGGCACCGTTGCGAGGCAAATTCGACTTAAGGACAAAGAGTCCAACTCTTGCCTCGACTTTGTCACCATCATTATACTTATTTCGACGTCACTATTCACAAAATTCATCCAACAATTTTATCGTTAAGAAGAAAGGGTTAAAGAAAGTCGAATGGTTATGGGTTTTGTTATTGATGATAGTTCTAATGATGTAGTGAAGAGAATTTTGATTTGTGTTGTAGAAAAAATTCTCGAATTTTAATTATTTTAAGAGTCAAGTCAGGAAAAAATATCTTTTTATTTATTTTCAATGTTTTTTGGTTGGGACTCTTGATATGAGTTTATTCATACTCTATGCCTATTGAATTTTGGTTGTGATGTTCTGATGACAGTGATTGCGCATGTAGTACTACTATTGATGGTGGTAAACGCCTAGTCAATGGCTTGTGGTGTTGGTGTACTGAAAATGAAGACTTTTTCTTTCTTTCCCTTAATGCTTTAATGGGCCTGAATTAACAAACACCACATAAATCCTCAATTTAAAAATCACATTTCAAAACTAACAAACTTTTAAAAATCTTTCAAAAATAAGGTGATAATTAAATTTATTAAATATTTAATTATAATATAATATAATTAATCTATTTATCCTACCCCACCTCCAACTCATCCCCCATCATATCAAACCCTTCTCTTTCTCTCTCCATCCCACCTCACTTCCGGCAACGGCTCTGGTAGCTTCTCCGGCAACTTTCGGCGAATTTCTGACAACTTATCTCGTTCAGGGAATATTTCAACGACCTCTCCGACCATTCCGGTGACCACTCACATTTTCGTCGACTACCTTTTTTCTTTTTCTCTTCTTTTTTGACAATAATATGTAACAAGTTTCATTAGATCTGTGTCTTGTGCACATTGTGATCAGTGATAAGTTCTATTGAATCTATGACCTAATCTGATGGGATAAATATGCATATGATCAATTTCCAAAATTAAGAAATAAAGTTTGAAATTTCAAAAATCAAATACTATTAAAATTTTAGTTATGAAATAATTAATTCAAAATATATTTTTGTAATTAAATATATTAAATCCACAATTCTTTTTTTTTTTTTTCATTTTTCTGGGCAATAAACGTGCAACCTGTGACATTGTGGCATATAAAATATGATTTTTAACCTATGATTTATTACCCGTGACTCGTAACATAAAATGTAACCTATAAATTTGATCCATGACTTTTACAAACGACATGTGATTTATTAATATTGACATATGACTCGTTTATACTGATTTATGACTTATATGAAATGACTGTGACTTGTGACTCAAACTTGTGACTAGTGAACTGCGACCTTAAACGGTGAATTGTGACTCGTAACATATGAACTATGACCTTATGTGTTCATGACCAAATTTCAAAAATCAAATTTTTTTAAAATTTTTTTATTAATAAACTAATTTATTAAACATATATTTTATTAATTAAATATATTAATGTTACAATTTTATACAGTTTGATCACAAATTATAAATTAATTTGTCACAAATTAATTTTCGATCACAATTCGTCAAATTATTGGTCAACTTATTTCTCA